ACAAAAAGTATTTGATTTCTTTTAATCTAGCAAGTTCTTAAGACTAAACATATGGTGAGGGGATGGTGGAGAGTTGCCAGATTTATCTTGATATCCTAATTTCACATGAATTAAATACTGCTATTAAAACTAGCATGTTTCTGTTTGGGAATTTTTGCCATAAACGATATCTGAAATTACCACCATCTTAAGGAATTATTTAAGCATAGCTTCAATAGGCTTGTGTCTTTATGACACATTATCCAAATTCCTCAATTCAAACTAAAGAAATGGGAGTGCAAATGATCAGTTCTCTGTTTCATGAAGGTTGTTTTAAAGGGCTGTTTTTATTTTTTAATACATTTTTATTTAAATGAATTATTTTTTAAACATCCAATAAGGTAGTTACCTAAATGAGCTTTTTCCCCTGTAACAATCATTGGGGCTTTGTAGAAATAGTGCTTATACATATTGTTTACTTTTCTAAATAAAACTATTAAACTACACCATAAAATTAAGGTTAACCATTAATAAAGAAATCACAAGTAATGTCAATTATTAGAAAGCATTGTTACATTTTTTTTTACATTTCTAACTCTAATATACTTCAGTATCTCCTGTAGTATTGTTAATAGCACTTTAAGAATAAAAGAATCTAAATGTGTTAGAAGTAGTGGCCATAGTTACACAACCTTGTAAATATAATTAATGCCAATGAACTATACACTTAAAATGACTTAAATGGCAAATTTTAGGTTATATATATTTTACTATCTTTTCAAATAGAAAACATGTAAAGAATTTTATTAGGAGTATTTTAAGTATAAAGTAAAAGATTTCAGTAGTGTTCAAAAGATAGAATTTTTCAGTTTCAAAAGTAGCGCCACATGCATTTATCATTTTTCTCCATCTCATTTTTCTTCTGCCAATTAAATTTAAATTAAACTTTCTATGGGAAAAATAGTTGGACTGGTTATACAGGAAATGAAAAAGGTGTATAAGATGTCACAGTCCCCTTGCAGCAATGTGACAAGTTTTAAAAATTAAAATTTCATTATAAAATAGTCCCTATGCTTTCAGTTCTATTTTCTACTTTGAAAATCTATTTGTTACTCCTTCTGAATCATGTGACTTTGAATCTACTCTGCTTTAAAAGTTTTCTTGGAAATCTATTCTGTTTAGACTTCATGTTTAACAGCATGTCATGAGGGTAGTGATTACAACTTTCCAAAGAATCTGTCTTTTGGGGAACCAGTAAGTTATATCCCTCCTCAAGAGGAAAACAAAGTAGATTTCAATCCTTTTCACCTCTAGATTCTGAAATGCTCCAAGTAAGTAACTAAATACACAGATACTATGGTTTGATTTTGGTGTTAAGTAGCATTTCATTTTTTTTTTTCCAGATTTTTCTATAGACTATTCAAAATTGGTCAAAGATATAAATTTTAAGTAAGACTTTAAGTCAAATGTGAGTCTTTGTGACATACATTTTTAAGTCATTAAAAACCTAAATAAGAAGGTAGCAAGGTCCAGGTTACACAAAAGAGTAAGGTTTATGAGTTTGCCAGTGATCACATGACATCAACACAATGACATTTTGGTGCTGCCATTTGCATCAGCTTCTCACACTGAGCCAATTCAAGTGATGGGGGGTGGAAGCATATGGTATGTTGGCTGGCACATGGGAGTCAGGGACATAATTTAGATAGTTCCTTCAACAAAATTTATTCCTGACATAGTTACCAAAGAAATTAGTTTTCTCAGAAAAGTTTAAAGGGATTAGATCATAGAACTAAAAATAGTTTTATCAGGTATCCTGGGACCTGTTACCAGAAAGAGAATAATACCTGGAAATGGATAGGAGTAAAGACATTACTAAACTGCCTTGATCATAAATTACATGATTAAGATCTTTTAGAGAATTAGAAGCAAATCAAAGACTACATTTATCAGTTTTAAAATGTGCCACATTTCAGAGTGATCACAATAGTCCAATATTTTCCATTTCTGGGCTTTTATTTTAGACTAGAGGTCCAGTGCATGAAATTTGTGCACTTGTAGGGGGTCCTTCAGCCTGGATGGTGCGAGGGTACAGGCCAGGCCAAGGGACCCCATCAGGGCACAATCATGGATAGGAAGGGAAGCAGGTTGGCCAGCCTGAGAGGGACCACAGAAGGGTTCCAGAGCATGTCTGGCCCATCTTGCTCAGTCCTGATAGGCTGGACCCCAACAGCAAGCTAATCTACAAGCTGGAGCATCTGCCTCCTGGTGGTCAGTGCACATCATAACAAGTGGTTGAGTGGCCTAAGCATATCATCAGCATATTACATTTTGATTGGTTGAATGGCCCACAGGACGACTAGACACTTAGCATATTAGGCTTTTATTATATAGTATTTAAATTTTGAGCATATTTATTTTGCTATAATTACATAAATATCAGCTTATTTTCTCAAACCTTAGGTATAATTTTAATACATCCATCCAAGTGAATTAAAAATCTTTCCCATGAAAACATAAATATAATTTTAGAATGGAAGTAAATAAGAATACTAGAGTCTATATGCCAAAAAAACTTATCTCACATATGAATTCATAAACCATAGCTATTGTAGATACCCTTTTAATTGAACATTGTAAAGTTATAAATATTTCCATAAAGGCATCCACTACTCGCATCAAATTCTCTCTTCTTAAACTATATTCTTCCATAAACTGTGGTGGTGTTTTGTTTTGTTTTGTTTGTTTGTTTTGTAAATAAATCTATTTTTAAAAAACTGTTTAAAAAAAAAAAAAGCTAAGTTCTAAATGTTCCAGTTGCATTGAGTGAACTGGGCCACATTCTTCAGTGTCATGCCCCACACTGATACTTAATGAAACTTAGCTGTTGTGCAATTCTTATCACAATTGCTCAGAATGTCCATTTGCCTTCTTCAACTTCCTTCTATTATTTTTATCCAAATTCTGTTTTTTTACACTTCTATTTCCCCCCTCCTTTATATCAAACTGCAATTGGAAAATAGCTCACACTCACTTCTTATTTTTAAATTTTAGTTTTTCTCTTTTAAGATACCAAGAAAGAAACATTCAAATGGTCTTCTCTAATGTTTTGTGATAATAAGCTCTGAAAATGAGACAATGACTCACTTTTAAAACTACTATGATCTAGCCAAATGGTATAATATTGGGTAACATAGTTCCTCCTTATCATATAAAGATAAGTTGACCCATATTTCAGAATTGTTATCTTAGCAACAGAGATATTCTAAACTAGAGGCCTGGTGCACAGATTCATGCTCTGTGGGGTGCCTTGGCATGGCCTGTGGGGATTGGGCCGAAACTGGCATTCCAGCACTGGCCTTCCACTCCTGCCTGCTGGTCCCCCTCATCCGGGCTCTGGTCCAACTCATCTGGACCCCGCTGTGCCTGACACAGGCTCATGCCCTCAGTCCTGATTGGGAAAGGCTTGTGCCACAGCAGCGGTTCTCCCCAGCCATGAGCCCTTTGTCTGGTGACCATTGTCAGCCGAGTGGAGCTCCTGTGGGATCACACTGACCATCAAGGGGCAGTTCCTGCATTGAGCATCTTCCCCCTGGTGGTCAGTGTGTGTAATTCATTGGTTTGCTTGCTTAGGCATATATACATACATACATATATATATATATATATATATATATATATATATATATATATATATATTCAGACATTATAGTCAGTTGCAGATATTAAGATTGTATAGTACCAACTCAACCTGGAAGCAAAAGAAAAAATACCTGGCTTGGACAACAGAATTAATTGTGCTACTATGCTATAATTATCATGAAGGGAATAATTTAAAAGCTTGCTTCAATTACCAGATATTTGACAGAACAGGTGAATTTTAATTTAAAAAAAAGTTTTCAATACCATTTATGCAGAGTAAAGTGAGACTATTTCAACGGTGATAAAATATGTTCTTTAATAATTTCTAATCATAGCTCATTCGGTAAAACATAATTATCCATCGCTAAGTCAACCAGAATTTTTACTATGCAGTGTCTTCATCTATGTGGTAGACAACAATTCCTCTCACCTCCATATCCATGTTCTAATCACAGGAACCTGGGACTGATAACTGATCTGACAGAAGGGATTTTGACCATGTGATTAGCTTAAATAATTTTGAGAGGGGAGGTGACCCAGGTTTATCTGGGTGAACCCTAAATGTAATCATAAGCATCCTTATAAGAGGGGGGCAGAGCCAGATTTGTCTGTAGTCAGGAGAAAGGAATGTGCCCACAGAAGTCGAGACTGACATGATGAAGCCAGATGCCAGGAAAGTCAGCAGTCTAGAAAAGTGGAATACGCTAAGATGGTGTTTCCCCTGGAGCCTCCAGAAGAAACAAGCCAGGTGGACATCTTGATTTTAATCCCTTTAGACTTATTTTTGACTTCTGATCTCCAGAATAATAGGATAAATTTGTGTTGTAGCCAATGAATTTATGGTGATATGTTACAGCATCTATAGGGAACTAATACTGGCATACCTCAGAGAGATTGCAGGTTCCATTCCAGACCACCGTAATAAAGCCAGTATCTCAATAAAGCCAGATGTAATCTTTTTGCTGTTGGAGTGTCCTGCCTTCCGTTTGTTAAGAAATGCAACACCTGTGAAGTACAACAAAGCGAAGCCCAATAAAACGAGGCATGCCTACACAATCTGTAAAAGCTTTAATTAAATCATCTCAAGGTCCTCTATGATTTGAGAAAACTGCTCTGCACTGTTAGCCTTATGAATTTTTTATCTTAAGCTTTTTTAATAGGCATAACAAGATTAAAATATTTTTTCATTAACTATTTGGGATGTAACGGTCTTTGATATAATTAGTCTGTCGGATATTAGCAGGTCATCAATAAGAGGCAGCAAACACTAGGGGAGATATTTCTTTTTTATTTACTCTTACTAAGTTGGAGGAAAATGTTATATTACTGATTTTTATGTTTGAGTAGCCAATTCCCTTAGAAATTCAGAACACAAAATCTTACAGAAATCAGCTGCCAGATTTATTAATCTATCTGAAAATAAAAATACAACCAAACAAAATTAGAATAAGAACAGAACTTAAAAATAAAATTTTTAGATTCATTCCCCCAAAAGTTCATAATGCAATGTTTTAAATCCTTCTGTATTAGAAATATCTTCAATGTTGGCCAATTACTTATTTCATTCAGTGAGTCACTACCTTAAACAGCAAAATATATAGTTTATCCTTAAATAGTATATAATTACAACCAATTTTTCCATTGATTCCTTAAGATAACTCATAGCCCAATCCTCCCTACTGGCAAACTATAGAATTTTAAGAAGAAAAAAAAAAAGAAAAAGAAATAGAGAAAATAAAAGAAACAATCCTCAATACCATTTTCATTTACATCATATTTTAAAGATCCACTTTCAATTTCTCCAAATATGTCAATTCTCTTTCCAATAAAACTTTAGCTGAATATTTTAAAATCTGTTTTTTATTAAATGGCCACATGAGCATGGCAGGGAGGAGAGAGGGTTTTGATTTTTAAGGCATACTTATTAGCCCACAATTGGGTCTAATGATATAGAATGTATGTGTAGAATAATCACAGGTTACATACATATGTTGAAATTAGAAGTTTTTGTAGGAATACGTGTAAATAATATTGATTCAGAGATGTGTGGGAAAATGGGTAGCCAGGAGATTTTATCTTTACCAATCTTTCCTGTGCTTGGTAAAATGCTTTTAGAGGTTGATTTCAGATTTGTGTGTAAGAATTTTTTTTTTTTTTTAACATTTTGATATAGACTCTAAAAATGTTCCTCTGGGATATGAGTGGATTGAACAAAATTTACATTTCTTGCCTGAATTGTTTAGCAAGCTATTCAGAGATGATATAAAACCATTTACTTATGGTTTTTTCAAGGAGAATGGTACAACACAACCTGCTTTAAATATTTTCTCCAAATGCAGAAACAAAAACAAAGCAAAAAATCTTTGGAACTTTAAATCTTTAAATCTTCTTTCAAATAATCCAATCACATTTACACAAGTGTCCAAAACAAGAGGAGGGACAGATATCAGTGCCAGCACTATGTCACACAGCAACTTCCTCAGATACTTTTTGACAGTTTGCAAATCATTTTCCATTTCACCAAAGTTACAAAAGTTTCCACAGTTTCCCTTAGCAAGCTGAAGCTTACTCTTCATTTGTCAATGTGCATAAAAGTGGCTTATAGCATAGCATGGTGTAAGCCATTTTTTTTAAGCAATAAATGGTTTGAGTCATCTATTTTGTCCTGAAATGCTATCTGTAGTTAACTGCATTGCTTATAAATGGTCATAGTAAATTCAGCATGAAAGATAATATTACAGAAAAGACAGCAGCAGAAGCATTAGCATTATCTAATATTTATATATGTTATCAACATAACACAGCAGTAAAAGGTTTAAATGCATATCCATGGGTACCATCTCTAAAAATTACTATAGTACCTATGTAGTGTACTGGATATTTTTCTTAAGGAGTGCCTGCCGTACCTAGAACAGCATAATATGTGATTTAGTACAGTTAATTCTTACGGATTAAATAATGTTTCCATGTACTAAAATAAATGAAAAGACAGATTTTTTTTTCCTTTTTTTTTTTTTTTTTGCTTCATTGTGATCCCAGATTTAACATTTAAATGAAAGTCCCAAGGTCCATGATGGATCATTATTTAACTGAAGTGGGCTTCAAAACATTGGAACAACAGTCTGACTCGTACCTAAATAGCAAGGTGGCACCAGATACATGTAATGCTACTGGCCTGTGACTCAGTTCGGAGCCAGAGTCCAAAGTTGTGTCTCTCATTGACAGTCACGGTGATGACTCAACTGCAGAGAGATTACCCATTTTGTGGTCACCCTCTGGGTGTCCAATATAAAGCAAAAACAAAACAATAAACAGCAAATGCAATCTCTAAATACCTTTCTACAAGAGGTGCAAATACAGTCATTGCTAACATTAAACGGCCACTTACAGTAGATTTTTTTTGTATACCTTGCAGAGACTCAGAAATGGTAGGGGAGGATGCCCTAGGCAGATGGTCTCCATGTGGATATTTACACAGTGTGAATTAACTGTACCATAGATACCCAGAGAACACAAACATTTCCTTACGTTGTTATGAAATCAGATGGACATGATATAGGTTCCTCATACTTAAAACCTGTAGGACCCCCTCCCAAGCCGGAGTAAAAAGGAATTCCCCACTCCCCCCGCCCACCCCTTCACCCTCTATCTTCCTGTTACACACAACAAGTGTTTAGATCACTCCCACCCACCCACAAATAAAGTGCGCAGTCCATGGCAGACCATAGTAGAACAATGCAACAGGAAAAGCCCCTCTGTGTGTATTATTATTATTCAAAAATAAAATACAAACAAGGAAAATCCAACCAAGACTGGAGAGAATGCAGAGATTCTCAGCCTCTTCCAGAGAGGGGGCCGTGGGAGAGGGCCCCGCCGACTGTCCCGTGTGTTCCTAGTACACGTAGCCTTCGCTGTAGGGGTGGGGGTTGCAGCAGCCCCCCTCGGGCATGTAGGCCATGCTCTCGTCGAAGTGGGACAGGGGCACGGTGTCCTCCTCGTTGATGTGGCGCTCCATGTCCGTCTTGAGCAGTGGGCGCTGGTTGTCTGGGAAGGCCATGGAGAAGAGGGCCTCTGGATCACACACAAATTTGTAGACGTATCTCTCGCCGGCCACCTGGGGACAGCAGGGAAGAGAGAACACCCATCCTTATGTACCAGATAGGAGCCAGATTTCCTGTGGTGACTGCACAATATTTACAAATAACGAATTTCTGTGCTGTATGCCTGGGACTAATATAGTGTTCAATGTCTATTATACCTCAATAAACACACACACACACACACACACACACACACACACACACACACACACACACCTTCACTATCCCAGATGGCGGACAGGGAAGGAAAAGAAACATGGCTTCATCCATCAGAATGAATGTATAACAAAAGAAAAAGCCATCCAGCATTAGTAGATACACCTTAAAGTCCCAAAAGAAGTTTTTACTTTGTGGAATAAATTATAGTTTGACCAGAAGAAATGCAAGGTGTTGACCCTGAATAATATTTGCATTTATTCCAGATATATACATAGAAAGCTGAGCTGGTTGTAATATAAAGGTAAACTTATATTGTCATTTGGAGGTTAAAAAAAAAATCAATGATTTCATGCAGGCATCTCACGATTTGTTTTTCTATTTTAAAGAGTAATATCTCTACTTGTAACTTCACTGGACCTTGAGGGTGAAATGTCTCCCTCTTAATACTACATTTGTGAAACTGCAGAGAAAGTAAACTTCCAAACCTAAGAAAAATGTGTTGTATTTCTAATAAGACTAGACTAGTGATTCACTCATTCACAGGGTGAACTGTGGGCTGTTGTTTTTGTTTTTTTGGTTTGTTTTTCCCCTGCTGTGTATTCTCATTGAAAAAGACAAAAAAGAAAAAAGAAAAAAAGACACATAGCCTTATTTAAATGAAAGATGGATCAGGAGGGCAGCATTATCCTGGTGCATCACTTTAAAAAATGAAGGCGAGATGCATTAAACAGAAGTTAAGGATGTGTGTAAAGTGTCAGATTGAAGTAGGAGGTGCAAAAAAGTGAAAGGAATTTCAAATACACAATGCATGCGGAGGAAATGAGAGCAAGAAATGTGACAGCTGCCTGAAATAAAGGAGCCGCATAATTTGTAGAGAATGAAATGTCCCAAACTTAAATTCTGAAGAATGATGCTTCTCTGGGAAATTATAAACAATTGAGGGAAACAAATACAGCCCTCCACCTCCCGCCGCTGTTAATCAAGAATGCTGGGGTTCTCAAAACCAGGGTGACGGGTGGTGTAGAGATCAGTACAATTCATTATATGAACTTTGGGAGTAACTTTCGGTGGGTGGATCCAGAGTTCAGTCATTTTCAAAAAGTGAAAAGTAATCACCTCTGGGTTCCTATGCTCCAAAAAGGCACTGCTGGTTGCCCTGTGAGCTGGGGAACGGTGAGTTCATGGTTTATGAACTATCTGTATGTTTGGAAAGAAAGAACTAACTACCAAAGAGACATACTATTCTGGACCCAGATTTAGAATACTTTTGCCCTGTTTTATTTTGCCCTGTAAGGACAAACCATTTAGAGAATTCTAATAACCTGAATATGCTTAGGTTTGAAAAGGGTCAGTGCTCCATTTGTATGAATTTGGATACATTACTTAAACGGGCGCTCAGCTCCCCCTGTCTGGGTGTAAGTGGAGAAGTCAGTTGTTAGTAAGATTGAGATGGAGGTCTCTGGTACCCTGCAAAGCAAACCGAGGGGCCTGGCATAAACTTACTCACTTTGGTCCTTTATAAAATGGAAATTAGGCTCATAAAGGTGAAACTGTAAAATTACCATAAAAACAAAAATGGGCAATATCAGAAACAAAGCTAATATACTAAGTCCTAGCTTTTCTTTTCTTTTTTTTCTTTGTTTTTCTTTTTCAAAGCCTTTTGAGTAAAAAAATAAATAAATATTGTAAAATAGATGGCTTTCATATCTTAGAACGTTTTATCACCTGCTTTGTTTCGTTTGGGGCCGTGGAGAAAAAGCTCTCTGCTTTTTGGCTACTAGAGCTTTTCTATCCGACCTGTTGCTATTGGTTATAATTAGAAATAACATAAATCAATGTGGGGAATTAAACCTGTATAACATGCAATCAAGATTATAAAATCTTTACTCACTGCTCCTTCTAGTTTTTTTGTTTTGTTTTGTTTTTTTAATAAATATTTCTAGGGCTAGTACTATATCTATCGATATTAGACTGCCTGGATGAATAAATATGAACATGGAAGTGGTTATAACAGCAATAAGGTTATGTTTAAACACCTTTGAGAATATTTAAGACCAGGCGTCACAGCCTGTCAAATACTGTGTCTAAAAGCTGAGGTGTGATTCGAGATCTTAACAATATGTTTGGCTCTCTGTGAATGCTCCCTTTAAGGAGCAGCATAGGGATCAAGACACAAAACCCAGATATGCCCTGGGCCACACCAGCTTCCGGGTGTGAGATGCATTCAGAGCTCCATTTGTTGACAACTTTTATTGTGCCAGAAACAATGCCAGTCTCTCAGGTCATTAATTTTCATTTAAAAACTGCACCGAGTTTCTGAGGTAAGAGTGCACCATTTGGTAGGAGAACCTAGCAAACCTAGATCATGACTGCATTTTCCTTTACTGCCCAGGCTAAGCACCTACTGTGCAGCCCCCCACATGTGCAGGAATTGGGAGATGGTGATGAAAATGAAAGGAATGGGATGCATGTGAAAGGATGTGGCTGCAAATGAGAGTGGTGAGTGAAAGGCAGGAATTAAAAAGGAACTGAGGGTTGTGATAGAATAGAAGGAACAGGTAGTAAATGGTTATACATTCTGAAGGTGAGAGTCAGGGACAGAGGAAACAACTGAGAATCTAATTCAATCTTATCTTTTAAGAATCTTGGAAGTTTAACTTCTAAGCTGACACACTCTGGAGCCCTGACTTTCTTTAGTCCGGGAAACTCCAGGATGCTGTTCCCCTCTCTTCTAGTACGTTTCTTGTAGCAACTGGTCTAGCTTTTCGTGGCATAACTACGGTGATATAAACGTATGCCACAATCCTATCTAATAAAGAGAGAATATGCTAATTGACTGCCACACCCTCACAAAGCTGGCAGTGCCCACAGCCAATAAGGAGGGAATATGATAATTGACTGCCACACCCTCAAAGATGGTGGTGCCACAGCCACAAGATGGCGGTGCCCAGTCCCCTCAGCCCTGCTGGGGCAGCAGGCGGGTGGTACGGCTGAGCCTGCCCCCAGGCGAGTCTAGCTGCTCCACATGCCTGCCTCCAGGGTCCCCAAGTCCCCTGAGCTACCCAGCCCCCAGGGCCAGCCCAAGGTTCAGGTAACCAGGGCCAGCCGAGGTTTGCACTACTAGCAGTGGCAGCAGCAGTTGTGATGGGGGTGTTGGCATCCTCTGATCACCAGGTCGCCTCCTGCCCCTGAGGGCTCCCAGACTATGAGAGGGGGTAGACAGGCAGAGGAACCCCCCATCCAGTGCATCAATTTTCATGCTCCGGCCTCTAGTCTGTAATAAATAACTATATCCCTGTCCTCCCAAAGCATGCATAATAAAACTACAATGTTTACAATGGATAAATTATAAAACTTAGTTCAGTAAAGATAATTAAATTGAATACACATGTGAGGCTGAAAATGTAATAGCAGCAAATATCCAAATATTTTATCTTTATTTGCTCATGTACTCATTTCCTTCTTCAAAAATTGTATATCATGTTCTAAATGTAATTTTTTTGTTTTATCTCATTCTTTTTAAAAAAGCTACTTTCGAAACTCATTTGAAATAAAATAAATTTAACTTAATTCTACCAATAAAGTAAGATCAAATACTTATTTTTAATAAATGTTTTAGAATGCTAAGCTGCCTGATAATGAAAGCAGGCCGAAGTTTTAGGAAAGAAAAAAATGTTTTTCAGAACGAGAATAAGAAGTATCCTGAATGCTTTAAGAATCAGAATAAGGAATAAAAGTGAGAATTGGGTAGTGTTAGAATCTAAAAGCAAGGGAATTCAAATTTATATAATTCTTGAGACTGTAGAACATCATCAACTTCTCGGGATGTATACATGCAATATTAGTATGGAAACAACCTTTTTACTAAACACAGTGAAATAGAAACTTCCAGAAAACCTACCGTATTTTCCGGCGTATAAGACAACCCCCTAATTTTACAGCTAAAACATAGGTTTAGGCCTATATTCGCTGTATAAGACTACCCCCCACTTCCGAGGCAACACCAGTTCTTTAATAGACCGCCTCCCTGACTCTGGCCAATCTGAGCAGGCTTTTTACTAGAACACTATACATGTTCTATACCCAAAGCTACACTGTGTTCTAGTAAAAAGCCTGCTCAGATTGGCCAGAGTCAGAGAGGCGGTCTATTAAAAAAAGAACTGGTGTTGCCTCGGAAGTGGGGGGTAGTCTTATACAGCGAATATAGGCCTAAACCTATGTTTTAGCTGTAAAATTAGGGGGTCGTCTTATACGCCGGAAAACACGGTACTATTTTCTACATGATAATATTACATATTTGTCTATGATGCCCATACATTTATACACAGAAATTCTTATAATACCAAAACCAAGAACTATGCATATGGTAAAGTGAGTGTAAACCCTGCTTTAGCAACACAATAACATGTGGCTTTTAAAGTGTGACACGCACATTTATGTGCAATGTTTCAATGCATCCTAATGTATTGACGACTCACCTTTTGCATGATACCTTTCTCATAATAATAGCGGAGCGAACGGCTAAGTTTATCATAGTTCATAGCTGGCCTGTTTTTCTGAATGCCCCAACGCCGGGCCACCTGCCACCAAAGACAGAATTGCATTGTAGTGTTAGATATTAAATTATCAAAATATTTCACTGAAAACATAAATAATTCATTAATGACTTCCAACTCCTCCAAAACACATACAAATGAAAGAGGCAAAAGCCACCGTCAGCTGCATTTCCTGTGTCCTGGTTTGCTTTTTAAACCAGGCGTGCAGTAATCCCGAGACATCACAATAGAATGCTTTGTCACCATTGTTTTGGATACAAAATTAAATGGAAAAATGGGAATGTGTTTACAACGGGAATGAACAGGCCGCAATTCACCAAAATGAGGCAAGTTTCCCAACCTGAGAGACAGTGTGGGGTTTTTTCTTCCTTCTTTGCTTTCAGATAAACACGATAGATTAGGAGCAGCTTAGGGATCTCTTTGTGAGGGTGTCTTCTGAGGTTATGATACACCAAAGGAAAAAAGATATCCTAGGATCAAAAGATAGCCTACTCTTTTTAAAGAAACAAGAATGAACAAGTGGCACTGTGTGGATAGCAGAGGAGAAACAGAACACAAATTAATAATCTGGACGGGCAGTCATTTTTATTTCCCTGAAGCAGCATCACAATAAAATGGTGGCCAGTACTAAATGGAGAATGACACATTCATTCAGAGAACAGTAATTGGATGCTCAAAATGAAAAGGAAGTGGAAAAGGTCAGCATGTATATGGGTTCACAAACGAAAATCTCTAAAGCAGAATGTCCACTGTGTTGTTCAGTGAAAAATCCGTAGCTTTGGAGGAGCAACTTATCCGGCAAAGACAGTCTGCAGTGGAGCTTTAAGAAAACCCCCTTCCTCAGTGTATATGCATCCCCCAGCGCACCCCCACCCGGGGCTAGCTGAAGCCTGATACAGAACAGCACCGGCAAAGTCACAGTCACATTAATTTCCACTGTTTACTAGTCTGAGCAGAAGCTACTGCTGCCATTCCTACTTGACCAACCCCAAAGGAGTGTTATGTAATGGGGACACAGTTTTCTTTCCTGGCCATGAAATTCCAAATTGTTGCCATGTCACATATACGTACTAAAATACAACACTAATCTAGAGAGATCGTTCCGTCTCTGCACTGTATTAGATTAACCGTTCTACAGGTTTGTTTTTTCTTCCTTTCTTTTCTTTTAAAAATACTGTTCTTTGCTAATTTCTCTCCCACCAATTTATATCCCCTGAGGAAGACAGGATATAATCTAGTCGCACGCATCAGTATATTTTTTAAGGCCCAGGAATGTGGTGTTACAGGGACAGGATTAAATATCCAAGCAGACAGTCACAGTGGCAGGTACAGCTGAATTTTCCAAAGAGAAATTTTATATCGATGTAAATGTTCTGAGCAATAGTCCAATGGGAAGGTGTCAATAAGAAATTAAAGCAATACTTTCTAGCCGAAACCGGTTTGGCTCAGTGGTAGAGCGTCGGTCTGCGGACTGAAGGGTCCCAGGTTCCATTCCGGTCAAGGCCATGTACACTGGTTGCGGGCACATCCCCGGTAGGGGGTGTGCAAGAGGCAGCTGGTCGATGTTTCTCTCTCATCGACATTTCTAGCTCTCTATCTCTCTCCCTTCTTCTCTGTAAAAAACCAATAAAATATATTTAAAAAAAGAAATTAAAGCAATACTTTCTAAACAGAATGTGTTTTAAGAACGTAACAGTGGGCATCTGTATTTTTTAATGGTCAAGGCAACTCGACTGCATGCGAATCTGGACGAGATGTGAAAATAAAGTACTAATATCTCCTTAAATTAAACTAAAATTTCTGGATATTTATTTATTGATCAATGATTCCTTCCTAGAATTCAGCAGAAAGTAAAATAGTTGTAGCAACAAACTAAGACAACATTATGGAAGTCTCCGGGAAAGGAAGATTATTTTGTTCTTATTAATCCTCACCTGAAGATATCACCTCCCCCATCCCCATTGATTTTCAGAGAGTGGAAGGGAGGGAGAGAGACAAAGAGAGAGAGAAACATGGATGTGAGAGAGAGACCCATCAATTGGTTGCCATCTGCACAGGCCTGCCTGGCTGGGGATCCAGGCAGGTATTCAGCCTGCAACTGAGGTATGTGTCTATGACTGGAATCAAACCCAAGAGCCTTCAGTCCAAGTACAGACACTCTAACCACTGAGCTAAACCAACTAGGGTAAAGATGACCTTTTTTTTTTTAATGCTATAAACAGAGTTTAATTTTTAGGATACCCATTAAGTCTCAGCACTGTGGCATTAGTAAGCCACATTCGTCATATAGTTGAGGGAAACAGGACATATCAATATGCTTAAGATACAAACAAGTTCTAGAAGCCTACTGTACAACATAGTGCCTAAGGTTAATACTGTACTGGCATATAAAAATATGGTTAAGAGGGTAGATCCCATGTTAAAGTATTCTTACCACAATAAGTCATCCCCAGGATGGCTTAGACCACCCACCAACTAAGAAAGTCCATTCAGCACTGACACATGACCCCTCCCCAATACCACTAAAAGCCAAGGCACTATTTTCAACAGGATGTGGGGAGCAATAATTGCAGTAACTTCCTTATTCATCTTCCAATGAAAACTGGCTGGTAGTGGGGAGAGTGAAAAAACAATGGCACGGTAGCATGAACTTACTGTCAAAAGAAATAAATAGGAAAATGTAATGTAATGTAATGATGTGTAAGTTCCAGTGTTATTCAATTTCTCTTAAAAATCATGCTTGGATATGCAACACTAAGAAATAGAAGCCACAGGGCATGGCTCCCGGACTTCTTGGTGACTCTTCCACCTCAACAAAATGTCTACTCTGAGTCCTACGGATGCTTTCCTGTGCTCAGTCCAATGGAAGTGAAAACTAATATCTCATCACCTCAAAAAGGGAGATGATAAGGATTATGTGCTTGCTAGAGTTTCCCAGACACACGGGGCAGATAACCAGTGCAGGTCTGCAGTCTCACTCAGTATCATTTTATTTTTATTTTATACTATTTTAAAAATATATATTTTTATTGACTTCAGAGAGGAAGGGAGAGGGAGAGAAAGACAGAGCCATCGATGATGAGAGAGAATCATCCATTAGCTGCCTCCTGCTCAGCCCATACTGGGAATCAAGCCCACAACCTGGGCATGTGCCCTTGACCAGAATCGAACCTGGGACTCTTTAGTCCGCAGGCCAACGCCCTATCCACTGAGCCACACCAGCTAGGGCCGGTATCCTTTTAAACTGCAAGAAGAAATACACAGAGAAATGGAACCCCTGAGTACTTCCAGCACGGATGGCTTCACAGCCATCTTTCCTAAGCGTGCCGACACAGATTGCCCCAGATCTGCTGTGTAATAAAGGGAGGAGGGTGACCACAGGCCTCGCAGGCTGAACCAATTTCACGAACACTTTCCAAAGAAATTTAAACATAAACAGTAAAGCCATGGCATGGTGGAAGCAAGTGCAAAAGTGAACAATACATCAATCAGAAATGGGATGTTTCATTTTGAACAAAGGCCTTAGGACACATTTAGGGCTTATTGCACAATTGCCATTCAGTCCCTTACTATTTGGAAATGGCCCACTAGCTTTGAATTACCCAGCCCCTGTTGACTTTATGAATCTGCCACAGACAAGGAGCCTACATGCTGGGTTGCTGTAAGGAACAGATGTAACTGTATGGCTTCCTTATATAAAAAAAACACCCACAACAACACAAAAATTCAGAATTTGATGGAACTTAATGGTCCTCTGGTCAAGTCTTCTACTTATTTGAAGCTGATTATCATAAAAGTCAACAGCTTCTGTATAAGGAAAGTAATCACTTGCCTATGAATTTGTACTTTCCTGAATGGATCAATAATTACTCACATAATTCAATAATTCTCCTAACTTAATAAATATATAGAAAGAAATTTAATAATCTGTTTCTCCTCAACTTCGTTTTAATCTCACATGGAGGGGAATAACTGATATAAATTCCTGTTGAATGTATTCACTTGTAGCATGAACCAACTCTTACATTATTAACATTGTTCCTGAGGTGAAGAACACATTACTTTAAGTGTTCTCAGTTTCAGTTTTTAGAATTCTTGTGTCATTTAAGTATATCTACATAAAAACTATTTTTTGACAAATTTAACTTTAGACACATTACAAAATTCAAATATCTAGCCCATACTAGATAATGGGCACTTTTCACATTCTGATGTTAGCCCTGTGTGTGTGTGTGTGTGAGTGTGTGGCGTGGGGGGAGAGGGGGAGGAGCAAAGATAATGTTGCCAAGCTAACACGGTAGTGTCACTACTTATGACTTGGAGTAGACTCCACTGTGCTAACCAACTCCTCTGTTTCATACTTCTCTTAATACATATTTGAATCAGATCATCTCCTAAATCTTAATGTGTGAACCTATCTCCTGACTAACAAGTTAGAGCATGTGATCTTATTAGAACTGAATATATGATATCCTACGGTATAAATTGTAAGACATATGGACGCATTAGCCTAGATTGTAGATGCCCAGTCTATATGAAACTAATCACTTTAGCTGTAAACCCAGCTGGATATCTTTATTTTTTTACCCCCTTCTGAGTGTTTAAGATGCTACAGTCAAATGATCAATCACAGAGAGGTATGTTAGCTACACGTCTTCTATTGCTTTCTTGGCTAATGTAAACCAAAGTCAGTTTTTTTAAAAATATATATATTTTTATTTATTTCAGAGAAGAAGGGAGAGAGAGATGGAAACATCAATGATGAGAGAGTATCATTGATTAGCTGCCTCCTGCACACCCCCTACTGGTGATAGGGCCTGCAACTCAGCCACATGCAATTGACCAGAATTGAATTTTGAACCCTTCAGTCCGCAGGACAATGCTCTATTGAAACTGGTTAGGGCCCAAAGTCAGTTTTAATGGTAGCAGAGCAAGCAACTTTAATTAAAAAAAAAATATCATAGAACAATCATTCCATACCGGGTCCAAACGCTATTGCTGAGTTACACTGTAGTAATAATAGTAACCTTAAGCCCAAATCTAGAGCTGGATAGAGTGGAGGGAGAATTAACTGAGAAGTTCTTCAGGAAAATACGCCATTTGTATAAGGGTGGGGAACAGCGACAGCTGAACAGTTAGTTGAATGTGTTTTGCATTTATTCATATTATCTCTATCCAGAGTCCTCTCATTTTGTTAATTTCTATGCATTATGATGAGTTTTAAACTTCATTCCTACCTTCCAGTGGCATGAGCCTGGGCCCAGCTGACTTGAAACAAATATCACCCACAATCGAAGGGAAACCATGTTCCTACCAGGCCTGTGTCTCCTAAGAAACATGTAAGGAGTGGAAATGTCCCACTGTGGCCCTTGCATGCTGCTCTCCCCCACAGCTGTCTTTCCTCCACCCCCTATTGCAGAGACTTGGGTGTCTAAATATTACTCTCCAACTCCCTTAACAAAATCAGGATGATACAAATAATAACTGCCCATCAGCAACAACAATGCCTCCTACTCAAAACTACCTGAGCCTCTCAGATATCCCCTTTCTGCCCTAAAGACCATCCAACACCCCCACTTAGATGCTCCTTTAAAGACATCCTACAGCCCCGCATTCTCGAATAAACACTTGTGCTAGTGATGCTGATTGATTTTCTGCACCATCCACACTGTAGGATGGTGTTCAACTGGAACAATCACGCCATGTGTTTTATTTTAAATGTATACTGCTTACCCCCACACTTTATAATGGGGAAGGAGTCCCTAAATTTTAAAAGTTAAAAAAAAAACCAAAAAACCACCACATATCTGGCATATTCATCACATATGTTTCTTTATATTTTAAGACCTACTACACCCACCTCTTCGGGCTCAATCAGTTTGAATTCCATGCCTCGCCCGGTCCAGGCAATGAAATGGGAATTTGAGGGGTCATCCAGAAGAGCTACCAAAAACTGCCAGAGCTGAAGGGATCCCCGCCGCTGGTAGGTGGGGCCTTCCCGGTACATTCCTGGCTCTTGCTTGATGTCTCCTAAATTAAAAAAAAGAAATTACATTTCTAGTATTAGCAACACGGCATTTGCATAAATTTACATTAAACCAGTGTTAAATGGTTAAACCACAGAAACTTTATGGATTTCTATGAAATGCGTCATCATATAATAGAGCTTTGAAATACTTAGGGGATTGAATGTAAACCACATATCTATCCAAACTTATAGACAGATGTATATAACATATAAGGGTTAAAATAACTGCCTGTAGGTGTGGAATCAACGTATGGATGTCATTTGCTTGTAAAAATTTTGTATTGCTATTTTTCCCCCCATTGATTTCTTTAAAAACCATAGCATCTAACACACTTCTTGGCTTTTATTGTTAATATCATTACTCACTGCTCTAAGCAACACTGAAGATGGAGGAATCAATTTTAAGCTTTAGGCTTTTTATTTGTAGAAATTAAATTCTGCAAACTACAATTTATAAATATCTCATTGACCTGGGCATGACAAACTTGCATATTTTAATGCAAACATGTCAAAGCAAATTTAATAGCATCTTAAACTCTGAGTTAAGTAATATGCACTTCATACAATTAGGCAAATCTCAGGGGCAATTAAGGGCATGCTGGTTACCATCAGAACATACTTCGTCCACATCTTCATACAGGCTCTAACACTTTTTGCAACTGGCAACAAATGAAAATTCTCATTTTTCTTTTTTACTTGTGTTTCACTCACTTAAATTTAGCTTGCTTCCCTTTTTCTAAAATCCAACTTAAAAATGTATACACCAGAGCTTTCAGTAAATTTATATTTTTAAGCAAGAAAGGTTTGTTACATAAGAACAATAACCAATGAAGTAAATTACAGCAATAATGTTGTTACTGTTGAAATACTTCTGGGATAAGATCAGTTGCCTTGGTTTTAGCAAAAATAATAATAAATAAATAAATAAATACAAATAAACAAAAAAATACTGATTATTTACTTGGATCTCCAGCCAACTGTCTTTAAAATATATAGAAGAGGTCACACTGAAAGTTTAATGTCTAGTGCCCCATGAGTATATCACTGTTAATGGATGAATTTCTCTCCACTAAGAAACACTTTAGAAAGAATATATTCAAGCTGATCTACTCACACTAAGTGTGAATTATAAACAGACCAAATCACAAGCTTTTTTTAAAAAAAGAAAACAACTTTCCTTTGATCAGTAAACAAAGATACACCTCTTAAAATAATTACAGAAAGAACACTACTTTAAAAACCTAAACCAAAGACAAATTATTGTCAGTAGCTGCTAAAAATCATTATGTTGTTTTGGTCTAAGCTAGGTAAAACAGGAGTGCTGCTCTCTTCATATTGATTCCATGGCAGTTTTATTCATCTGTGTCTTTTCTTTTCCTTCTGAGATTTACAAATTGTTCATGAGGGCAACTGAGCAATTATGCAGACAGAGTGAAACACTGTCAAATTTTATAATCTCTAGATTGCTTCTGCCTATAAATGTGACCGATTGCACTGGCCTGGTACAATGAAAAATAAACAACCTTTTGCTATTCTTTCTTCTTGTTTCCTACTTCCTATAAAATGTAAGACTCTTACTATCTTTCAAAAATATTTTCTACTATAAAATTGACTAATATTTAAAAGTCAAAGGGAATAATCAATATAGTTAGCTTCCCTGAACATTAATATATTGGCCTGTTAGATTATATATAATCCTGTCTATAGTTTTAGTTATTTTTCTTCCTTATATGCCCATACTGCCTACCAACATTTCTTAAAATATTAAGCTTGCTAATACTGAACAGAACTGTAAAAGGTCATTCCAAGAAGTAAAAGATTGATGCTTTGTCTCAAGGGAAAAAGTTGTATTTTAAGAATGGTGATGCTCTACGAATGGTTAAAAATAACATGGATCATGCCTCTGAGACTCAAAGTTTAAAACTAACATCTATTATAAAATAAAGCCCCAAAAAAGTGACCCCTATTAGAGTTTTCACCCCATGACCTTGAATGAACTTAACAATTTAAAGGAAGGCGAAGGAAACAGACCTTCCCAAAACTTGGCGTCCTATCCCTTTTGAGAGGCGTTAAGGGAAGCAGAAACCTTGAGAACAGAGGAGTCAACAAGCAACTAATTAGAGATGGAGAAGCAATCTGAGCATGACTTTGCTGTTTAAATAATGGCAATTAGAAACTTCTGAGAGCTACCAAGTCATTATGGCTATGATCCCCAAAGTTTGTGCAATCAGCTAATCGGTTGCCCCCTGCTCGTTTCCTGTTAGACAATCCAGGCAGGAAACATGGACACCACTCTGAAGAACCACTAAGTCAATTAACTTCAACTTATACCCAAGCTTCCTCTAGAGATGCTTGACTTCTGCCACCCTTGTCAGGAAAAGAAGATTCTATCTCACTAGCACTCCTTTCTAACATCTGGAATCTTCTGGAAGTAGTGAATGATGTTAAAAAGGTAATGCTTTCCCAACTCCCTTTCAAGCAATCACAAAGTAATGCCACTAGGAATGAACATCTTCCCAGAAAAGAAAAAAACAAAAGGAAGGACTAGCAATCACTAACCCAATGGGCAGCTATGTTGTTCCATACTGCATCTTTCCATGAACAATGAAAGGAAAGAGGCCGCATTAGTCATCAGTGCATCCACAGTAGCATGCTTTCTGTTCTGCTTTGTTAATTATGGGAGCAGCTTTCAATAAATCTCCAACAACAAGCTGCATGCGCTCAGTGGGCCAATGGAAAGCCTCCTCTTACTCTACACAGAGTCTAGCAAAAAGGGCAGTCTGGCTATATCTCTAAGGATGAGATCTCTTATGGGACAAAAGAAAAAAGCCTCTTAATGGAGACAGGAAAGAGAATTTATAAAAGGTAGAAGTTGAGCAAGAATTGAGTGCATCATAAATGATGCGCACAGACACAGGGATGCTGACTGTTTTCAAGAGAAGCTAGAGTGATCTGTAGACCTGCACTACTGAAAGCAAAACTTGAAGCACAATGAGAAACCTACCATCGAATTTCTCGGGGACAACACAGGTGTCATCATAGAACTGCCTGGGGCCCTTTTCAAACATACAGCCTGTGGGAGAAAATGACATACATTTAGTCACGATAGAAATGAAGCTCACAAAAAACTTATAGTAAAATAAAACCATGAACACCGTAAGTGAGGTAGAAAATAACTGCTATTTTTCAGCTCTGTGACCTTGGGCACATTATTTAACTCCCGTACCTTAGTTTCCTCATCTATAAAATGAGAATAATAAGCCATATACATTTTAGGTATGTTGGGAGGATTAAATGATTTAAAATATACAAGTTTAGACTAGTGTATAACACATGGTGATATATGAGAATTAGCTATTGATGTTATTGCTAAGCCAATCATAAAGTTCACATGAAAACTGGAAACCTAGGGTTTATAACATATCATCTTTCCCATATTCTTCCAAGTTTTGTTATTCAATGAAACGACAGGGAAGTTGAAATAAATGACCGATATTTGCTTTGCATGATTACACTAATGAACTAGTCCAAGAGTCTAGATATTTCCTTCCTTGGTGAAATATCTAGGCTAGTCTCTTCGAGTTTTCATCTTTAATAGCCAAGGTAGTTAAATAAAATTTTTTAGACTTTTCTTTTGTGCTATAAGTCCACACACACACAAAAAAAGGGCAAAATAAAGTGACAGCTTTTCACAATCATTTTGTCTTCCAAATATTCTTAACTGTGGACCTTTACTTAATTGTTATATTTAATCACCAGGAGGAAATGTCACATAGTCACAGTTTTATTTCTAAAATGTATTAGTCTCTATTGTGGATACATAAGATTAACAATAGTAGCAACAACAATTTCATTGCATTTGTGCAGACTTTTGTTCTCAATATTTTGGATTTACTAGCTCATTAAACTATATTTTAAACATAGGAATTTACTTCTACTAATATAATTTATATTAAACAATCAATATTAGACCAAACCTAGCAGGATACACCTGCATCATGTCACTGAAAATACATATATCATTTCTATTAAGAACCATACACCTATTTCCATAAATATTTTAACGTGAATAACATCCAGATAAAATCATATTTATTCTTTCTGTTGCCAACATCAAAGTTCTTGGCTCAAAGCTTTTCCCACCATGGTTACCAAAACACATCCACAATGAAAACTCCATCTCTAGTCCTCTTGTGTGAATTTCTGTTCTTAATAACTTGTCCAAAAAATGTAAAATCCCGGATTTTAAAAAGTAAATACTGTATTTTATTTTTAAAAGATTGATGTAGGTCTGTAAAGCAACACTGAAAATTCCTCGAAGATACATTTCAGTACAGAGCAGTAAGGCGGGGTAATCTATAAAGCACATGTTCTGTTTAAAAAGGATGTGGTTATTGGCACACACAAAAAAAAGGAACATAGAAATCCACATTTCAGCTGTTTATATGCACATGACTCATGTTCACAACCAAATGCAGGATATCATGACCTGAAAAAAAAAATCATTCTTCTACTTTAAAAAGCTATAGTTGAAAAGTAATGGTTTAGGGAACGTAAGCTATTTTCCCTGTAAAACATGACGACTAATTAAGTGACTGCATCCTTGGGACGTCTGATGATGTTGACAGGTACTTGCCAGGAATGTCAATAATGAAAAACTTAACTTCTGTTCTGCTGGGATGAGCCAGGTAGCCTTCTTGCCTCATATAGATGGAGTGGCAGCTAGGCACTTCTGAAAGAGGAAACAGCATGGGTCAGGGAGAAGTCTGGAGCTGAAACCTGCAGCTATCAATAGACACAGTGCAGATAAGAAAGGAACAGGAATTGACACGAGCCACCATGAAGGGAACTTGTCAACACAGTTAACAGTTCAGGCAGGCCACACTCAAGAAATGGGAGAAGCTTGTTGAACCAATTCCCTAGAACACATATTGGAATTCAGAGTTTTATCAACATTAATCTTGCTAAAGGCTGGCTCTACCTGCAAGTCCCTACATGATTGTAATGGTGTCCTTGAAACAGTGTTGTGAATTAAAATAAGTTTCAGGCTTTTTATGGAATAAATATATACATATATCCCATGGCGGTCAGAGCAAAATTCAACAAAACTAATTCATAGCTTATTTCATGAACACTGGGTAGAAATTACTATGACCAGATGAAATAGCTACATCTCTTAAAATTACTCCATCCCTTTAAGGTGACTGCTATTTTTTCTCCCCAGATTAAAAAAAAAAAAAAAAAGCATGACTGGCTTTTCATTTTGTTAAGCGCACAAATCATATTCAAAACCAATGAGGCTATAAAACAGAAATCCAAAAATTTATAGCAAACACTATTATTACCCAAGGACTGAAGCTTTCCTTATGTGACCAAGTTAGCTCATTACCAAACTTGATTAATGGTTAAACTTAAATCATACTATGTATTTCATATGTTAAGTAGCTTAGATAGGGAGAAAAGGAAAGAAATGTGGATTATGAGGCAGATTAAAATTCCAGGTCCTTCATTTACTACTAATTAAGCTACACACTTAAGACACACCAATTTGTGCTTGTATTTCTATAAAATAAAAGGTTGAGTCAGATGTTATCTAAACTCTACTACAGTCCCACGTTCTTTGATTCTGAATATGGAAGATCACTTACATAACCAGGGGGGATTCGGGTGAAACTAGTGCAGTTTAAACTGTAGGACCCTGTACTTCCAATTGTCTTCTGAGCCCTGAACCTAATGCTTGTATTAATATATGCAATGTCATTTTCTTTTCCTTTTCCTTTTCCAAGTAGATTCTCCAAATTTTTTAAGTTTTAGTTTTCACAAACCTGAGCCCAATGCTGCATTATATATGTAGTTTTTATAAGAAGGTATAAATATATGTGATCAAATTAATTCTATCATCTGTATGCATTACTAAAGTTTTTTAAAACAACATATATAAAAGTAAATTTAGAAAATGTACACAAAAAGTATGCTATCTATACTAATGAAAGGGTAATATGCTAATTAGACTGGGTCGATTGAGATCCTCTGGTTATCCGGTCCTCCTTCGGACAAAGCCACGTTGGCAGGGCTGAGGCAGAGGCAGTTAGGGATAATCGGGCCTGCAGAGGAGGGCATTTAGGGGTGATTAGGCCAGCAGGGGAGGGCTTAGGGGCAATCAGGGAGACAGGCAGAGAGTATAGAAGTGATCAGGCAGGCAGGCAGAGTGGTTAGGAGCAATCAGGCAGGTGGGCAGGCAGGTGGGCAGTTAGGAGTCAGTGGTCCTGGATTGTGAGAGGGTGCAGGCTAGACTGAGGGACCCCCACCTCTCCCATGCACAAATTTTGTGCACTGGGCCTCTAGTTTAATATAATAATAGGTCCTCTTTTCTACCACTTGCAGTAAGCAAATCACCTAACAAGTAATAAAGAACATTTAAATGAATTGCAATCTAAGTACTATATCTCCTTTTAACTACCCATCTATAGACTTTCCATGTGATAGATAAGTAGCACTGCGTGGCCCAAATGTCATCATTGGCCTGGAATGTTCCATTGTTAAAGCCTGATTCATTTTTAAACCGTTGTGGTGATGAATGGACCAAAACAGAAGACTTTTTTTTTCCCCACCGAAAAAAAGTTTATTGTATATGGCAGGGGTGTCGAACTCAATCAGAGAAGGAGCCAAAATCTAAAATCCAGCCTAAATCGCGGGCCGAATGGTTTACTGAACAGTCATAAACTGTCATTGTGATGGAAACGCAGCGGAGTGCAGTGATGACAGCGCGGTGCGGGCCACATTGCAAGGCCTGGCGGGACGGATTTGGCCCGCGGGCCTTGTGTTTGACACATGTGGTATATGGTCTCAATAAAATATATTTTAATGGCAACCCATCATAGCAATCTATAATAATAAATGCATAATATGCCAATTAGACTGGACACCCTTCTGGAAGAAGCCATGGCAGCAGGGACGGAGGCAGAGGGGCCACCATGGCAGTGGGGGTAGAGCCCCTTGTATGAATTTCGTGCATCGGGCCTCTAGTAACATATACATGTACGTAGGAATCAATAGCTTACAAGTTGAAAACAGCCAGAAATTCCTTATCAAACAGCTTATTACACCTTGCCTTCTTTATATAAAGTATTACATGGTATACAATTCTGATCCTACAAAAGGGAGTTAACCTTGTTCCCTGCTATCAGATTTACAATAGGGTGGCGATGTAGTTGATCTTCTGGGTTGCCAAATTTAGCAACACATTTGATCCCAACTTTTTAACCAACGGTGGTGCCTGCATGTAATTTTTAATGTTATTTTGATTTATCGCCAGGTATAAAGTCCCTCCGAGCAGCTGGGCCTAGAGGGGATGGTGTTAGAGACGAGGCCGTCAGCTCAGCAGCTGCTTAGAAGCAAGCATTTTGCCCTACCAATGTTGACACCCTGCCACAAAATACTTTTACTGACGCTGCCCAGCTGGAGTGTGACTCTGAAACAGCTGGCTGGCTCTGGAGGCGGCTGGAGGAAAACATATAGGCAAACTCTATTACATGTAAGTGTGTGACTAAAGCAGTCTTTACTCCCCAGCAGAGGAAAAGAGAGGGAGAGAGAAAAAAACACAAACATTTCTAAGAAAACTACTATTCAATGTTGAAGGAACATTTTATGCAAGTCCTCTAAAACAATACAAAATAAGCAAAATCCTTGAAAACTAGACACTTAACATCTAAGATAGTATTGGGTAGAAAATTCCACTAATACTCATGTATCTACTGAATTGGCTGCTTTTTAAAAATTCTTTATTGTCCTTTGGTTGATCTCTTACTCCCTCCTCCCTGCCTTCCCACTGAGGTTGGACGGTCTGATGCTTCTTTCTTGATTCTGTTGCTCTTAATCTGTAATATTTATTAATATTTGATACTTTTTTATTTTTTAAAATATATTTTATTGATTTTTTTACAGAGAGGAAGAGAGAGGGATAGAGCGTTAGAAACACAGGTGAAAGGGAATCATTGATCAGCTGCCTCTTGCACACCCCCTACTGGGGATGTGCTTGCAACCAAGGTAGTATAATAAATGCCCTTGTTGGGAATCGATCCCAGGACTTTTCAGTCTGCAGGCTGACGCTCTATCCACTGAGCCAAACCGGTTTCAGCTAATCTTTGATATTTAAAGTATTCTGATTTAAAATATAATAAATTAATGACCTAATAAAGCTAATGCCAGACCCTCCATTACATTTCAAAAGACCCAACTTGTAATCTAATTTCTAAGGGAGGTTGGGGAAAAAACAACACTGAATCACAAGTTAGAAAAAAATTTCATATGAGAATATAATTGTGTTTTTGTCATTTCTTAAAACTATTTATTATACCATACAGTGAATAAAATTAGGATCTAGCTCTTAAAATTTGGACACTTGGCTAGCATTGTTTAAATCCAATCTATCTTTGAAATTGATGTTCTTTATATGATCCAGGGAAGCCTAAAAAAGCTAAGAGGAGTTTATTCCTCTAAAGTAACTAAAGTCATGTTATCCTAAAGTGATACCAGTTAATTTATGACTGTCAGAGTAGGTCAGACTCTAATCAAATTGTAGAAACATTTCCAAAGTGATTATTCAATCAAATGACTAACATGGTTAATTAGGAGCCATAAACATTGCTCTGAAGTTCATCAAAGTAATGACTTGCCCAGAAAAATTACTGCTAATTAAATTGCCTGCTGCTTTCATTTCTACCTTATCTAATAAAAAATCCAGCCAATGAAGTTTGGCATTACATTTTAACTTCTGCTAAATGCTCATCTAAGATCTCAACTAGCTAAGCGGTGACTTCAAAGGCAAATGTTTCATGGCAGGGAAAATAGGCATTGCAGACGTAGTCACGTATGTTTTTCTATGAAATAAAAGTTACAAAATCCAGCATTAATAATGAGCTGTCATTTAAGCTGTGAACAAACATTAAGATGACAGCGAGTTTACACTGTCCTTGTCCATAGATTATACTTTTAAGATTAGTACAGCAGAGTGATTACAAACATGTACCTTTGTCATCTAATAGAAACGGTTTTGAATCTTTTCAGGGTAGTAGCACATTTTGTTAGTTCTTTAGGATGCCTAACTCTCAACCTCTACATCTGTGAAATGGGAACAATAGTGATGTCACCAAAGGGTTGTTGGGAAGATCATATGGGGAAAGTTTTTGGGGAACATTTCACCCAAAATCTGCAAATGGTGATGATTCAATATGTACTACTTATTACTAATGAAAGAATCAATTTTTAAGTGAACCTCACAAGTATGTAAACTGAGTGAGCTACAGTACCTGAAACTAAAATTAGTATCAACATTATTTTAATATCTTAATTTGCTATGCTTAAATCATCTACCTATTGAATAGTTGGTTTGTTGTTTATTAGTGTACTTATTCTGTAATAATCTTCATAAATGTATCTTGAAATCTATGATATTTAAAATAGGTTGATTATAAATTCACTATAACTTTATTATTTATAAGGTTTGAGTGATAATTCCCATTACATTTGAAAACTATTCAGAGGAACCTCTTTTGAACTTCTATTTATAGTAATACCTCTTGATATTGGGTACTAAATAACTTTGGTTTTAAAGTTTTCAATTCAATCTGTAAACTGAATTATGCAAATTTAACTTAAGACAAAGGGTGTTGTTTTTTTTTTTATCACTTTGAAACTTATGTATCAAAAAGCTCTACAACATGGCATTAGTAC